GCAGCCTTCACAGGAAGATAAACCCTGAAAGATCATTGAAACATACAGACTACTGATGTTAAAACACAGAATCTGAAGTTCTTCAGATCCAGTGGAACGCTAACTCTGTCAGCGATAATTTGGGGAGCCACGTCACCTGTTGGGCAAAAATCAGGCAGCCTTGTACAATGAAATCTGAGAAGCGTTTTGAAGATGTTGGTTTCATTTTCCATCAGGACTTGGCTCCTTTCCACACTGCCAAAGGCACCAAAGATTAGCTTAGTGATATCATGGTCCTCGATTAACCAACAAACCCGATACAGAATGGCATAAATCAAGAGAGGGCATGGAGCCAATAATGCAGGAGAGTTGAGCAAAACCAGCTTAATGCCACAAGGCATTGATGCAGTCAGGAGCAGGAGTCCCAGCATACGCTCTATGGTACATAGGCATACTTTTTGGTACGGCATTGAAGATCTTCTCTATCTTTCTTACGTAAAAACGTTATTTTTTTTAACTGAACTTCATTCCACCTCTAAAATACATTTTAATCTGTTTGAGATGCACCTAAGATGTTGATACATATGAACACAGAAGCGCTGAGCCCCTCTATAGCAATATGGGACACACTTAACAGCATCAGCATTAATCATAGTAGCAAAGGACCGAAGCAAAGAGACAACATAAGAAAGCAACAGATGAAAAATCTCTGGGGAGTAGATGAGAAAAGGAGGATATAACCTTTTCTCTCCTTTAATGTTCATTACTTTACTCATGGAAATGGGCATATATATATACATATGATGCACTTTAATAATAAATAAAAAAAATACAAGAATTAATATGGTTTTAATTGTCTCTATATTAAACTAAAGCATGCAGAAAGTCTCATAGAAGTGAAGTAGGTAATGCCTGACAGCTGCATGTGACCAAACATTTTGAGGAGTGGAATGTGCAGGGATTGTTTCTTTTTATTGTTTTCCCTGTGGCCCACAGAAAAAAAAAAAAAAAAGCCCTAAAGAGCATGTGCAGATTGCATCTAGTTTTCCACACATATCTTTTATACCCACACAGATACGCCAGAGGTTACATCATTGCAGCTGTGGATCGAACCTCATCCTGCACACGGTGTCTTCTGCTCGTGTTTCATCATTTCTCTTCTATTCCCTGTACCTGTTGCAGACACATGCACACATAAGCAGATTTAAGCTAAATGGATTAATCTTTAATACAACTTAGTTTCATCAATCTAGATTTAAAAAAAGAAACTAATCACTAAACTTCAATAGCATGCAATTGCACGACAATGCATGACGATAATGCATGTAATTGCTTTTCTACCTCTTTTTTTTTTATTAATTATTAATTTTCTTTCTGCCTCCTGAGCTCCTACCAAGGGTGAAGTACACTATTTATTGAAAAAGTTTATTGGTTGTCTATATCTGAGTTTGCCCTGCTTGCTATAAGCACCGTGTGTTTCCAGCCTAGGGAAAACCTAGCAGGTTTACTCTTTGAATTAGATATATGATCAAGGTTTTTCCGATCCATTCCGATACCAATACCTGAGCCTATCAGCTGATATCCAATAATGATCCGATTCAACAGCCGAATCAATGAACTGGCCATATGAGTAAAGGCTTTAGCCTTGACATAAACATTGTTAAAAAGGAACAAATTAACATAGATATAAATGTACTTTATATTGTTTTTTTAACCAACAGAAAGCAAAAAGAAATGAGTTCCACATAAAGCGGAATTGCCGAAATCACCGATATGCTTTGGAGCCAATATCCCATCCAGGTTTCAGATCTGTGCATCTCTAGATTTTGCTTTGTTGCTTTCCAAAAGCACATGTATTTTACTTTGCCACCATGTCTGTCTTCCTGTCAGACTTACATGACCTCCGAATAGCTGCGTGGGTTTAACTGAAATAGAGCGGGACTCGTTCCGAATATCTGAAGTTGTAGCTCCGACCTCCTGCTCCTACCCCCCATCCCTTCAGCTTTTGCAGGGTCGACAGGAAATGTTCAACAAATTCTGTATTTTTGTTAAATGCGCAAAGTGGGCTTTGTTTGCGTGTCTTTTCACAAAAGATTGTGGGAGACCGTAAGTTCGTAACGGCGGTTAGGAACATCTGAAGCAGTCAAAAGCAGTGCGCTTTCTATCACGCTGCTTCCTTCTCCTACCATCTTCCTTACTGCCAGCAAGAGGTGGAAAATCCAAATCCTGCCGAGTTTTTCTTCCTCCTTTTGACTTGACCAGGTGATGAGCACCCAGTCTGTGTTTTGGAGCTCGAGATGGAAATGTTTGGAACGAATCTCTATGTAGAGGCTTTTTATTTTCCGGACCTGGATTATCTACGTTTGCTGCCAACACTAATCAGATGGCACTTATTAATGTGACCAACTGCAGAAGAAGTGTGCCTGTGTGACGAGAAATAAAAAACCTATAAGCAGACCTAGAGTGTTTCTGATTGTTCTGAGAGGATAGAATTAAATGCCGGGTTCTGAGGTTTTTGAGGCGTTATAGCTTTCCGTAATTCAGTTCATAATTTGGCTTCCAACACCACAGAATCAGAGAGCAGACAGAAATTAGCATCCACCAACACTATCTGCTGCCTAGAGCTGCTGTCCGTCCTCCAGGTGTATATGCAGTAAGTTCAGTTTGCCATAATTTGACATGTTTGACTGTTAAGATAGACGCTGATCGGAGCACTGATTTTAAAAAAACATGCTTCTCAGTCTGAATTATGTTTTATTCAGACTGAGCTTATTTTAATCACAATAGTCCAGTTGTTGCATTTAAATGAAAATGTTTTATTCAAGTTAAGATCTTTATTCCCTTTACTCATGTCCGTGTGAACAAGCTAATGAAGTCTGTCCATTGTTCCTAAATGCTCATTTAGGAGGAATTAATTTTGATATAATTTTCTGTGTTTCCTTAAAAACCCGGAAGATAGCTTGGTTTTGTTTATAAATGATTTGACTAAGCTGGCATTGTTAAGTACTTATAATATGTTTTGAATCAACACAATGAAAATAAACTGTGCTGAACGGATTTACATTATTGTGACTTAATCTTTGAATCTGCATAACTTTATTTACAATTTACAATTTAATAAATATGAAATGGCTGGATTCATTAATCTAGACCATGCTTACAAATACTAATCTTGCATTTAGTCAAGTAAAATTTAAAACCTGAAGTATCTCAACCTTATTTTAAGCTTATGAATCTAACTTCAGTTTCATATCTTGACAAATGCAAAAATCTTCGGAGTATCCAGACAGGATGTAGTTGTCCTTCTGAAAATGCTGTACTTCTTTTTAGTCCGCTATTGTCATAAATCATAGTGAGATATGTATGTTATATTTCTTCTCTCAGCATGGATCATATCTGAATGTTTCATTGTCTACATTAAAAAAAGAAATCTTTCAAGCTAGACATTCAAGTTTTATAGCGGAGGATCTCCCTGGAAAAACACTTAAAAGATGTGAGAACAGAACTGAAGGCTAGTCTTACAGTCCACCTTCTTTTTCCCTACAGAAAACTAAATCCAAGGATGCAAGCACACTCAGTTTGTCACGATTTAACCTTTTCTTCTAGAATGCAGCAGTTTATTTTCACTACAAAACTGGGCGTTGGGTTTGTAATGAGTGAAAGTCGTAAACTGTTGAAAAGATGGTTCCTCTAAGGCCTGTCAGTTTCCTGACAGTATGATTTATGAAGGATATATAGAAATGCATTTAAAAACGGTTTTGTAAAATGGTTTCAAGATTAAGTCACTATTCTGGTAAGTTTCAGTGTTCAGAGCATATTCTGTAATAGCAACTCGGGAGGACTTGAGAGGCAGGACGGGAGAAGAAGAGATTTTAAACCACAAAAAAAGAAATAATATAAATGAGAATCAGAAACTTAAAAAATCCTGTAATTAGTACAGCCTTTACTGCTGGTAAAAGGTGCTGTATAAGAGTTGATCATCCACTGTATGTCTAATAAAGTTTCTCTGTAATTACAGTGACAAATAGTTTGTGTGGCCTTTAATTAGTGTTTGCTGAATGTGATTTGTTTTTGAACTATTCAGTCATCCAGAATGAAGGGTCAACGACTAAATTAGGCATGTGAAGACTGCAGAAACTGGACCACAGTCTCTCTTTCCTTCAAAACTTGATTCATTTTCCCCTCAGATTTGTTGTTTTTGGCTTTTACCTCTTTCCTTTTTCTTTCACTTTTTGTATTTGAACCAAATTGAATTATTAAAATAATTACATAATAATTGCTTTTCAGGAATGAAAAGGTGCACAGTAGTTGTAGGTAATACTAACTACTTGAAATAAGCTGGGACTTTCCGCAATTAAACCCGCTTCCAAACCTAGCTGTCAATTCCACTTATTTCTGTTTCAGTCTCCCTGATGCTGTTTTATTTTCATTTTTTTTTCCCGTTTTGCCTCCTCTCCCCTGGTTACTTTGCTTCATCTATGCTTAACAACCCTTTTCCTCCACCTTTCCTTCTTTCTATTATTTTTGCCGAGTCTCGATTTCTGCCAAGATCAGCACTGCTTAAGATCACAGCCTTGTTGTCACTGGACGTACCTCGTCCCCCCCTCAGTTTTTTCCCCCTTTTTCTGCTAAAAAAACTTAAAATTTTTTAGAAAACTTCCCTTTCGTATCTTTGACAGACACACCTTCACAGTTGGTGTTGATGTTAAGTCTCTTAGCGCTCAGGTACTCTGTAATCCGAACAGCCTTCGTGCTTTCTGTGCTAACAGATGTTGACCTCTTAGCTGTTTGGAGAAAGAGCCTCGGAGGTGATGTAGTGAGCTTGTTTAATATCACAACAAGCTACCTAAAGAGGAAGCTGGCCTTAAATTAGAGGGTGTTTTTAAAGAAAAGACTATCAAGGGACAAAGACTGTGGAGGAACCAACATTACTGCCACATAATATGTCTGTTGTAGCAATTATGGTCATTTTAGTTAAATGGAAAATATATTTTAACACTGAGGTGTTTACTTTTCATTAGGAGTTCCCAGAGTTCTCCAGTCCAGGTTCAATCTTCCTCTGGCTCTGGTGTGTGTTCCTTCATCTCCAGCCAAAAGCACCAAGTTTAAGATCACCGTTGACACCAACCAGCCACCAGTTGACCTCAGCGCTCTCTTTAGGGGTAACTATTGATGTATTGCATAATGTTATTATATTCATAATTGTATTACGATTATTTTACAAACTCACTCTTTGCATTCATGCGTTTTCTTTTTAAAATATTTCTTTTGTGCACATTTTCCACCTTTTTAGATGCAGCCTTAGTTTACAGCCTGCTATTCTGAATTTTTTATATATATCTTTTACATTTGTGTTTTTCATTTGGCTCCTGGTGCACCTGAATATCCCCACTGTGGAAAAATATAGGATGTTTCTGTTTTGGCCTACTCTGGCAGTGAAGAGGTGCAGGCGCACGACTACATTTAAACACCAAAGTAGTAACTGTAGAAACTAAAGGACTAGATCAGCTACGCCTCCAGAAAAGTCCATTGTAAATTTATGACATGTAGTTTTTTTTTTTTTTCCTCTGGTTTCCAAAATCTCTTTGTAAAAACAAACCAGGCCAAACATGCAGTGTCAATGCACCCTGAGGAAATTCATTCTTTAATTGGAACCCATTTACCGGTATTAAAGGTTTTGTGGAGGATTTTCACAAATGTTTTAAAAGATCCGCTCTCTCCACCTTAAAAAAAATGCATATGCACAAGCCCATTTCTCCGTGTGCATGCTGTTTAAAAGTTGCTATTCTCATAGCTCATACAAGCTTACTGTGCCCGAACATTCGTCCTAACCCCTAAATCTCTCAATTACTATATAGAGCAGGGACTATATAGTGGACTTGGTTAACTTACCATTTGGACAGATCATCACCGCTTTTTACTCCCCGTTGGTCATGTAACTCCTCCTCCACTGCGTGGTGCTTACTCCACCTTTGTTATTAGTCGCCGCTGTTGGCTAGCGACAGCCGATGGCGACAGCAGGTCGCTGTGACAGCAAATCCCATAATGCTGTCTGCGCAAAGCATTCTAGTATATATCTGCCTTTTCTGAGGCATTTCTTTTTTTCTTATACACTTTGTAGACACTTTTTCTCTTATGACTGTCGGCCATTTTCAAAGAACCGTGGTGAGAAAGGTGAGCTTCAATGACTCACCACAGATATCCGCCTGAAAGTGCGCATGTGCAGAAAAAAATAGCTAACGGGATGAGGACGTAAGACGGCCTTACGTAAACGTATCACCAGAATGATTGACAATTTACTCCCCACCTCTGAAAAATATTAATATTTTACACACACACACACATACATATATATATATATATATATATATATATATATATATATATATATATATATATATATATATATTCTCAGGATTAAATTATATAACAGATTTTTGTCTTACGTTTTGTTGTTTTTATACCACTTGAAGGAAATCAGCACTTCTATATTTTGTTTGAAGCAACTAAAGTGTGGTCTAAATAATTAAATATTTAGATATTTATGTTTAAGGAATTATAAGTTATGCCACAAGTGATTTTTTATTTAAAAAAGTAGTCGTTTTTCCCACTGAATAAGTGCCCTTAAAACTGTCCTTTAAACTGGACTTTTTAAAAGCTATTCAGAGTGAGAGCTGTTCCTTTAAAGCTGTTTAGCAAGAATAATAACTACCTCCAATGGATGTCAAAGAATACTTAATTTTACGTAAACTTTAAAGATATTTTGTTTACAATCATGGTTCACATTGCAAACCGTTTTATTAGCATCCAACCTACTGGAGGAATTTTCCAAGCTGCTTCTTAGATGAAATTGTAGCTGTTAGAATGTTTTTACACGTTTATGACCAGTCTAATGTTTGATTGTGGTTGTGTTTTTATGTGTTATCTGCCATTTAACCCCTGGAATTTCTTCTCTGTCCCCTATATGACAGCCAGCTTCCTTCAGCAGTTTTTGTAAACACAAACTCTGTAATACGACTAGTAGCATGTTTTTCTTTCACAAGGGCTTTGTGTAAGCTTCCATTGTGTTTTTGAAGAGTGCGACTGTATCTTGTCCACATTAGTTGGCGTCTTGCATCATGATAGGCGGTCATATCTGTCTCATCACGCTGCTTTTTTCATTCTGTTTCCCTCTGCAGAGTTTTCAGCAAAAACAGAAGATAAGGATGGGAACAGTTTGGCTTTTCAGTTTCTGTCAGGAGCCAAAGTCACTGTGCTCGCCTCCAAGACCTCCCGTGAGTCTCACTGCTGAACCGCATACAGGAGGTGGTGCTGGTTATCCTCCATTAAGCCCAGTTAGACTGTGGGATTGAACTTTTTTTAAAAGCTTTTCCTTTATGAATAATATCCACAACTGCTGATGTTTTTTTAGGTGCAGTTTTTTTTTACATTTAATGTTAAGATTAGCCAAAGATGTCAAACATTTTACTTGTGGTAAATGTGGAAAAAAAACAACTGAATGTTAAGGAAAGTCATCTCCTTTTATTCTAGAGCGTTATCGCATTCAGGGTGACAGCTTTGAGGATATGTGGCTGGTGGTGAAGGAACTTGTTCAGAGGTTTGATCAGCATTTCTCCAAACTGGGAATCAAAGACTTCAAGAAAAGTTTTAGTGGGCCAATCCCACTTCAGGAGTACTTCCTGTCTGTAGACAATCACTTTCAGGTAGATATCACCCAGGCATTTGTAAGAAAACGATGGAAAAGGGAAACGGTTGCCTTATCTTTTTGTTTTTGGTCACGACAGCTGCGTGTCAATGCTCAGCAATATCAGGATCTGCTGTCAGAGCGAGCCGTCCAGTTCAGAGCCATCCAGCGGCGACTGCTCACCAGATTCAAAGACAAGACCCCTGCACCTCTGCAGAGCCTTGACACACTACTGGATGCCACTTACAACCAGGTCAGAGACACCTAATAAACATGATGCATGTCCACATGATGTTCAAAATGATGTTTAACTGCACGCATGATTCATAAACAAAAAAGTTATGATTGGAATGAGATGGAATGACATTTATTAGGGTGTTTAACAGAAAAATATCATCACATTGAAGGCAAAGCTTTAGTTTTACACTCCTGACATCACCATCTGTGTCATATTGAATTCATCTGCCTGGTTGTTTGTTTCCTGGTTGGGGCTGCATGTGGAGCTGGTTGACAGCTGCCTTTTGTATCACTGGCTCTTTCTGTATGTCTGCTTCTGTCTCCTTGAACCCCAGTCGGCCACACTGGGCCTGGTTCTGCTGGAGGTTTCTTTCCTCTTCTCTGTCCCTACGTGCATTCTTGGTGTGAGGGATTGCTGTTGAGTCAACGAGTTGATGCAGTCAGCTGGTTTTCCTTAGATAGAAAACTTTCAACCAATCTGACTGTATGATCTGGTTGAATTGTCTCTGTAAAGGGTCTTGAGATGACATGATTTTATTGGTGCTACATAAATAAGCTGAATTATATTGAATGGAATGTTCATTTTAATTTAAACTGAAGCAAAAAAACATTTATTTTTTGAGGGTTGTGTAAATGTGCCGCAAATAACTTTAATACATTTCTAAAACAGGATATTGGGATTTCCTTTAATCCAAACATGCTAAATCTTCTAAACACAGGTTAAAGGGCAGACATAAAACTAGGAATGTCCCATTCTGATATTGTTATCAGAAATTGGTCCAAAAAAAAACTAAATTTCTATTTAATTCTGTTTAAAGTTTATGTATCCCATTGGTTAATAATGCTAGGATCAGTTGTTCTCATACCTTTTTGTCATCTATTATTTTTTCTGTTTGAGTTCTACGACTTGATTAAGCTTTTTTTCTAACTACTCACAAAGTGAGTAATGAAAGGTTGGTCAGTAGTCAAAGACTCTGACCCAACAAGTTGACTTAACGTTGTTGTTTATCTTTTCTGTGTGAACTGAGCTTCTACCGACTGGCTCATCATGTTTGGATCCAGCTTGTCCATGTAAGCAGCAGCATATTTTAGTTGGCTTCTAAGGTGTCTAGATGAAGCAGGGGTTGACGTTAAGGATTTTTAACAATTGCCCTTTGGGCAAGTGACTTTTACATTTCATTTGCCCAGAAACTATTTTTACTTGCCCAGTATAATGTTTGATAAATATAGTTCCTAATATTCATTTTTGTATATATATATCAATAAAACATGTTTGTTTTTAAATGTTTTTTTGTAATTCAGTATTTTTTAAGTTTCCAGGTTTCTGGTGTGTATATGCATGCGTCAGATAATGAACTCAAGCCTACATTGTCGTGTTAACATGCTTTTCAATCCTTCCTGCACATTCTTTTCAAACTAAACTTTGCTTTAAACTGTGTGCTTGGAAAAAACTTGACAGTTTAAAAACTTTAGATAAATCACATACAGAAGTCGATGTTACAAATGAATAACTTTAATTTTAGAGTCACGGTATGTTTATACAAGATAATACTATTAATATAATATGACTTTTCTAGAGAATCATTATACATAGTTATTTTATACAGGGTTTCCACAGTCTGACATCATTTCAGAATTCCCTGACTTTTAACTGACTCAGGATTAGTTTTCCCTGACAAAATAAATGCAGCAACAAGACAATAATAATAAAATAACAGGTCACCAATTTAACATGTTTAGCTCTAAAACATTTAAATGCACCTCTCCAATGTCTGAGAGAAAAAAAATTTAATAAAAATTTTTTAATGTATGACCTGCATCACTGTACAGAAGACTGCCATATGATAGCCATATTTACACTGTGTGCATGGCATACAATTATGCCAATTTTCCTAATCCCTCTCCGATAATTTTTAAACTAGGGTTTTCTGGGTGGTGGGTGAAATGTGTGGAGGGTAAAATAGGTGGTGGGTGTGTTACTGTACTTACATTTTTTTTGCCTTGTTGTTTTTCAGCGTGCCAAGTCGAAAAAGATTTGTCTGATTAGCGCTAATTCCCAAACAAAAATCACGGCATCTGGCGGAAAATCACGCAGCTTTTTTAAATCACGCTGCTTTTTCAAATCACGCGAGAATGTGTACAAAACAACAAAAATGGCGCCGGCATCGCCTCTGGGTCGTTTTCATCGAATATCGGTGATTTTAAAGTAATTTTGAGTGATAAATAATTTTTTTTGCGATCATTGCAGTTGCCCGGCGGGCAAATGCAGTGAAATTTGTACTCTCCCGACAATGAAAACTACTTGCCCTGGGAGATCGGGCGATGGTTAACGTCGAGCCCTGTGAAGTATGATATTTTTTCCAATGAGCATGGAGATCAGCGAACAGCAATCTCTCTAAGCCCCACTTTTACCAACTCTAAAGCAGGTTTTCCAGTCCAGTTGGAGAAAAACACTACAGGCCTCGAACCACAGGCTGAATGGAGTGGAGCCAGTCTGAGTAGAGCCCTCTTTCATATGGGAGTGGTATTTTGGGTCAGAAGTTTGACACCTGGGTCCTATAGGGAGTTCTAGAAGTACAAAGATCCCAAACACAGATCAAGAATGGATTGGATTGATTAATAGAGAATAACATGAGGGCCTAAAAAGGCCCTGACCTCAGCCCTGTTGAATATATGTCTAACAGTTAGGGCCATTCTTGGAAAACACCCAGATTAAATTAGCTCTACTGTTTCTGGTAAGAAAGTTGGTGAAATATTCAGTCACAATTATGCCGAGTTAATGGTCCATGGCTGCAGATGCATGTGCTTTCTCCACAACTTGCTGAGAGACATTGATCCCAATTCTATGGCTCATATATATTAGCCCAGTAAGTTTAAATGTACGTTAACCTTTTTAACCTTTTTTTTTCATTGAAATTGATTGAAATAGTTTATCATCAATCTATCTTAAAAACAGGATACAAAAAAGAAAACACTCCAACTAATCATTAAAGCTAATTATTAACATTGTGTTATGTCCATAGACTGATGTGAAACTCTTATGCTGCGTTCCCACCGGACGCAGCCGGAGCAGCAAAATCGCGTCTGCTGCTTCATTTTTGCTGCTTGTACCAGTTAGTTCTGATGCACGGCTGAAGCAGCTTTGCTGCTCTGGCTGCGCGGTGCAAAAGTGTGTCTGACGCGCGTTGGGCGGAGCTACCCTATCCTTTATCTGCCTTTCAGCTATATTTGCTGTGATCAGTGGGAAAAAGTAGTTTTAATATGTTTTTAAGTGGGAAAATCCACCTGAAAACTTAATCAGAATCAGTCAGTTCATTGCAGTCAGTTCATCCAGATTACAATCCCACCTTCCAATATTATTTCTGTGGGAGCCGCTCAGACCCCCACATACCAGCGGTGCGCTGTCAGTAGGAATCCCATTCAACAGCAGCCTCTGGCCGGGTCGCCTCCTTGCGGTTCACCGTGGCGGCTGGGAGGTGTTTTTCATCTAAATAATCCAAACTGCAGGCATCAGGATAATAGAAGCGAACATGTTTTGCCAGCAGGTTTCAGCATTTTAAGTTAATTTATGCGTCAATAAACTGTTTCAGAGGA